AAATTTTTTCTAATAATTAATGTAAATATTTTCTTGCAGGGAACTTTAAAAAAAATCTCCTTAGTTAATAATATAATCAAAAAGTTAACATCTTAGTTATAAGCAGATTCTCTTGTAAGGATACTTAAAAAATAATTTTTATTTGTCTGTTCTAAGCAAGACAACACTAGGACAGCATACAAAATTTCAATGAGTCTATTATTTGATGCTAAGAAGTGTATTACATTACGCAACATATGTAGTTTAAATTAAATAAAAATCAATATTTCCGAAATTATTTGATTTTTTATAATGAATATAACAGTGACAGGTTTTGCCATTAAGAAATGCTTAGACACCCCAAGTTTAATTAAAGTTTATAATAATCATTCTACAAGTGAATTTTAAGCGGCAATAGAATGGTTATAAATTGATATATCTAATATTTTTCCACGCAATTACATATTTCAGTCGATCAAGATTTTTTAAAAATCTTTTGATGTCATTATATACATAATTATTTATGTACTTGTTATTTTAGGTACAGATAGTTGTTTTCAAATTTTTTTATTTTTGAAGTAATTGCAATCCGAATCTTGATTTATTGGTTTCATAAAAGTATGTTTTTCGAATTTCTTGGAGAGCTTTATTGGTTCATATTTTCTTCTTTACATGGATGTTTTAAGGAAGAAATTTATCCAAGATATTTTGCGTCCAACAAAGGAAAATCTGTAAGCCTCTTCTGAAAAGTTCTTTAGAAATAGTTTTTTAGAAAGTTCCAATTCATATAATATTGCCATGTTTTCACGGAAACTCTCCTTGGCGCTTTCGTGCTCTCTATATAAAAATAGAAAATTCTTTTATCCAGAGGGCGGATAATTCTAAGCTTCCGGATCTTTTATTATTGCATACAAGTGAAACAAATTCTTTATAAAAGAAATAGTTTTATATATAATAAAATAGTTTTGCGAATCGTAGGGCTTCTGTTCAATTTAATACATCTATGCTTTTGCAAGAATTATATAAGTATAGTTATTTATCAGAAACCCTGTACGAAATTTTTACCCATTTAACAGAATGATTTATGATTTTGAATACACTCTCAAAGGAATCTGTCAAAGTTTAACCATAACATTGATATCTATGTGTATAAAAGAAATATATAAGTTTATTTTCTAATCAGATAACCCGTGCACAATATTTGTGCATTTATCATACTGTCAAATACATTCTGAAAAATTAAAAAAGCTTAAATATATTCTTGATATCTATGCTTTAGGAAGAAATATATAAGTATATTTATCTGAAAGCCTGCTCAAAATATTTACGCATACATCAGAATGAATTTTGAATTTGAGTACACTGTCAAAAAATCAGTCAAAATTTACCATAATATTGATATCTACGTGTATGAGTTGATATCTATGTGTTTGTTTATCAGATAACCTGTGCACAGTATTTATGCATTTATCATAACGATTTATAATTTCAAATACACTCTGAAAAATTTATAAAAGTTTAAACATGTTCTTGATATCTATGCGTATGAAAGAAATATATAAGTTTATTTAATTATCTGCCAGAACCAAGTCAGATTTTTAGCTTCAGCAATAGCAATTAAATCAATCAGCCTACCCTATATGTATGTTAAGGAGGATAATAACAATGATAGAAAATACTTAAAGTATGACTGATTAAGCACGAATAAATAAATAAACCAGTGAGTTTTCATGAAAGAATGATGCTATAGTTTTTTCGATCAATTTTAAAAAGGAAATAACAAAGCTTTTGAAGAAAAAAATCCCAGGTATTAATTTTTCCTAAGAAAATGTCAAATTTTATTAGGCTATATATATACGAATCTGTTTTTTTTATACCTACAAAAACCTCTATAACTTCTCAACTATTAGTTCAATAATTTCGAAATTAGTTTCATTCAATCTTCATTGAAAAATTAAATCCGAAAATATGCTTTTCATGCTTAGATCGTCCTTGGATAGCAATTTAGAAAGTGTATATCATGCTTGGCAAAAAACGTACATTTTATACATCAAAGGCAATGTAATTTCTAAACTAATCTGCTTACTCGATAAGATTCAATCGAGTCAGAGTGTAAAAATATATAGAAAACTTTTTCACTTTGTTTAACTAGTAATATCAGATACTTAAATAGCTACAAATGCAAAACTACACAAAACCCTTATAACTTCTAAACTATTGGTCCAATCACCTCGAGACCGATCTCAATCTACTCAGCTTAAGAAAATACACTGGGAATATACTATACTTGTCTGCATTAAATGGTATTCAATTCTCCCTCAAATCACCTCCATTTTCCTTCACAAAAATGTTTGAGTTATGGAAATTTGAAGTTATTAGATATAATGACTTTATAATGGTTTCTGTGAAAAAAAATCTCGTGTTTTTACTTTTCGAAAGATAATTGAATATTTTTATATTTCCCAAAATTACCCTGTTTTTTTTTCATTTTGTTTTTACATTTTCTTTAATTATTTAAGACTGATTATTATGACTGATTAACTATTTAAGTCATGATAACGCCTCTGTAACATAAAAACAGAAACAAAATTAAACATTTTTCGTGATTGAAAATTTAAAATCATATATTGCTTATTAACGCATTTCGAAAAACACACACGTATATTATTCAAAATCAACAAAAGGCTTCCATACCGATGCAATCTTTCGAAACAATTCCCTCGGTATCAAATTAAAAACAATGGAAAATTCAACAACTCATTCATTATGCTTCCCACTTGAGTGCCAAGGTTACCAACTCGGCCTCAAATGCTTCCACCTAAGCTTAACGGGGCGTATAGTCCTCCCCTCTTCAAACCACGACCAAAACATTCCTCCTCGATCTGCTCTTCCCCAACAATTTCAAGTCATTCGGGGCATACAAATAACCATAAATCCTTTAAACATCGCTTTTACTAATCCTACTCCATGTGGCTAAGCAGATGCTCTCCCTTTGCGAATCAATAAATCTACTTCGTCGTTTTAATAAATAATACCCTTCGGCTTCAGGTAATTGTTCTACCCGGGTAATGTGGATGCATGTGCGTGCAAAGCTAAGCCACGTTCCAAGCTCCTTTTAATCTATACACGCTTGCTCGCGTACTGACATTCGTCTCTGTCTAGTACCGAGTACTAATTGGAGAGTTTGGTTCTAGTGTTAGATGACCACTTGAATAGGCGAACCGCAGTGTGTGCTAGGTATGACAGCCAGCGTACAGTATTAGAGGTCTTCGTGAGAATGGAATAGTTTGAGGATTCTACCGATGAGGGGTGCAGGATTTGGAGCGTGCTATATAGAGCGAATCTCACGCTACCAAGTTCAATTGAATTTTAAGAGTCATGAAACATTTGAAAATGAAATGATTTGGTCGAAGTATTGAATGTATTTGCGTTAAATGAAATAATACTAATTATCTGCGATTCGTGCTGCTTGTGGTTTTATGATTATATTACAATGCTATTGAATTTATTGGGGAATATCAATCCAATGTCTTTTTAAAAATAAGAATAAGATGAAGAGACAATATTTTTAATTGCTTAATTTTGTACAGATTTCAATTAATTTTTTTTCTTTTCAATTAAGTATTTTTCAGTACTTTAACTGTGCAGAACAGAAAATTGAATTATTTCAAAAATTTTGTAAATTTTTTCTTTAAAAAAAAATTTTAAAATGCTCACGTGAAATTACAGCTAATTGGTATTTTATTATACTTAATCACAAAATGCCTATACATAATTGCTGCTTGCATGATAAAAATTTTTTTATTCTAGAATATCTTTGATGCGATATTGTCATTATTTATTTATTTATGTGTTTTCTTATATGTTTGTTTGTTTGCCTGTTTGTTAATATATTTATTTTTGAAAATAACATAGACTCTGATAACGAATTTTTGATAGCTTAGACGGTTTTATACGACATTTTCATGATGATATTTAAGCAGAAATAAAAGTTAAAATATCACAAGTCTTTATATAAATACTCATAACTCATAAATATGATAGTTTGGTTATGTAATCATAACCAAAATTTGGTATTTATAGAAATATTTATTTAAAACTTTTCTCCTCTGACAACTAGTTAGTTTGCTTATTTCTAAATATTTAAAACACTAAGTACATCAAAATTAGAAAAATTATTTAGTTTGTCTACAAGAATTCAAGTTTAAATTCTCAACTCATCTCTACTCCTTTGATACTCTCAGCCAGATCTTGTATGGTTTGATCATTTTGGTACATTTATATAATTTTTGAAGCATAAAATTACAAACAATGAAATTCAAAATAAATATAAAACATTCAAAATAAATGTAACAACCCAATTGCATCTGTCCAAGCAGCAGAAATGTAAATAAAAAACTCATACAGCCTAAGTGAAGTACAAAGATACTTTGTAAAGTACTGTCACCTAACACTAACCAGCTGCACTTGTGAGGTAGGGCACAATTCTCTTTCTTCACATATCTATCTACTACTATCTGGAACTACGATTGTCATTAGTTTTGAGAAGCTTCGGGGAACAATCCAGTGCATAGTTAACATTACTCCCTTGGGTAGCTTTTAACTCATTTATTACGTTTCCAGCAATTGCTAACACTGCTTGTTCCACAATGCAGAAAGTTATAATTTTTTTTCCTAACTTTTTAAGATGGGACAGGAAGTTACTTGTAGCAATTATGCATTTGTGTATACACTTTCTTAGTACACATGTTTCATTTTCTTGGTTTATTCGTGTCAAGCTACATCACAAAAAAGACCACCGGTATTTCAGTTTGCACACCTCATTACCTAAAGCAGATTTGCATCACAAAAATTATGGCTGTAGTTTCTATGTTATATCTTGCTTTAATATCGAAAGTGAAACTAGTCATAAAAATTATATGATGGATTTATTACCTTTTTTTCTCTTATTCTATGTCATTAAAGAATTGCCATTACAATGCATTGCTTCAAAAGTCTAATTCCTCTTCTTTTTATTATAGCCGATCCTCCAGTAATCACATCCCATTTCGAAGAACAAACGGTCAATCCTGGTCACCCCATATCACTGAGATGTATTGCTAAAGGTCACCCATTACCAAAAATAACATGGACAGCAGATGGGGAAAGTATACCGTCATCTGCTAGATTACGTTTAGGCGACTTTGTCACTCAAGATGGCAGTGTCGTCCACAGTTTTCTTAACATCAGCTCTGTGGAAGTGACAGATGGTAAAGATTATGCATGCCATGCAGACAGCGATTTTGGAACAGCAAGCCATCAGTCTAGACTCAATGTTCCATCACCGCCAGTTGGAAGACCTCCACAAAACAGAACAGCATTGGTGGGACAAACCGCTGTCTTCGTTTGTCCTGTAGCTGGGTATCCACTGACGCATTTTTCTTGGGAGAAAGGTATGTTTTTACTATAGCTATAAATATATTCTAAAGAAACATTATTTACATAATGCCTAGGCATGATTATACAAGTTGTCTGGAAAATGACCAACGATTTCAAAAATCAATTGATAAAATGGAAAAGAATAGAAATGGATTTCTTCCTGCAATCTGCTGATTGTTTAGCAGCAAACGTTTGCTACTTTAACAGCCTACAGAGCTACCAAATGGCAACCTTAGCAACTAATTTTAAATATTAGTTTGTAAGCATAAAGTGGCAAACTGTACATTTCTATCTAATTCCATTTCTTAATTTGATTTTTCAAATCAACGCTTATTTTTCGAACACGCGAGATTATTGTATTTTTTTTCCTAATAGTCATTACATTGAAAAGCATATTCTGATGGTCTACGGTTTTGGCTTATCACTTATTGTCTAGGAAATCACCTATTGTCTTGTAAAAAAGATAATAAGTGGTATTGCTTACAGCTTATATTATTCTAAATTTCAAGAACATTTTGTTATTACATTAACTGTGTTTTTAGATAAACCTAAAGAACATGAAATAAAATGAAAAATAATATCAGATGAAGAGACGTCTGATTTATTTACATGATTTAGTTATATTCATATATAATTCAAATTTGACCATATTCACACATCGACAGCTATACTGTTTACAGATATTTTACAATGCTTTAATTAATTTCCTATATATCTCAAATTTTAGTACAAATTTTTTATAAATTTATTTTTTAATTACTAGATCTAAGTGAATGGCTTTTAAATAAACCTCAATAAATTGCACAATTTCCTATAAATAATCTTTACTAATTAAAAAAAAACACTTTGCATTGTGTATCAAAATCAGTAATTATTACTCAGTTTCTTAAAAACAAAATATTTTCCAAATGACTTTTCAGACATATGTTTAGGAGGCATTTCTTTGAATTTTCTTTTTCGGGGAAACTTATTTTCAAAGGTAAATGAAAAGCCAAAATTTTTCTTTGGATTTTTATGCACCCAAGACAGCGTAAGTGATTTATTACAGAATTCATTTAATTACAGAACGAAGAAAGTTAACTCGAGAAGAAGAAACTTCTTTCAAAGGAAAATTTCTGGCGTATCCTCTTTAAGATTGCTAACATTTCTGAAAACAAAAATCTGAGTGTTGTTGTTTTTTTCCCACCTACAGAACTTGGAATCTTTGGAATTTGAAATATGATATTCAACATCGACGTTTTGCTGCTTGTGGTATAATCCCTTGATAAATAAAACAAACAGCAATCTATTGCCTGGTCCTGTCAAGCGAAATCGACTTTACAATCAATCTTTCAGAATCGACCTAAAATTGTAAAATGTTTCGCGTAAATGATTATACATTGCTCTTTGTTCTTGGTCTGCTGAAATCGATGGTTCATTATATAGTTCGCACGTAAAACAACTGCTGAATTATTAGTGTAAGCGGATGAAAATAAAATAAAAAAAATAATTTTTAGTAAAAGAGGCATTAGGTAAAAACTGGCTTAAGTCAAATTACTTTTGTGATAACAAATTGCTTAATGTTTTTCCGTCCAGAGATAATTATAAAGTGTGAAATTATCTGTGTTCTAAATAATTTGAGATTTTACAAAAGAATGGCAGCTTATGAATTTTGAGTTAAATTTCCGTTATCTCTGAAAATGTTTTATCGCGATCGTTAAATGAAGAACATAAGAAGTTCCATTAGGTAGATTTATTGTTTTAATTAAAATGCAATTTGAATGATAATTGAAAATGTATTGATTAGTCTATACTCTAAAGAGCAATTTGTTTCGAATCAAATATTTATCAGAACTTTTTTTAAACAATTGAATGACGAGCAAGGAGCAAAATTAAAAATGGATTTTGTAAGAATTTTAATGCAATAAAATTCAAATTCACTGGTGCATCAAAAAAATATTATTATGGACAAAGGTATACCTTTTCCGCAGTGAAAGCAAATTTCATCTTCTTATCTTGTATATTGCTTTTCTTACTTAATTTAATTTTTATCTTGTACTTTTTTTCGTATATTTCATGATATTAAGAAACAATTTATTTCAAATCATAGATTTATTGAAATATAGCATTTTTAAAGAAATAACAACAACGAGCCTAAAAAGGAATTTTAACTAATACAATTTATTTATGCATGATAAAGCTAGATCATTTCTAAGTTTTTTTTTTTAAAAAATAAAGGAATAAAAAATTATGAGAAAAAGTTTACTTCATCAGAAACAAAACCAGTGGATCCATATTATCATGTTAAATTTCGCTTTTCTTAGCTAAACCTTATATTGACTAGTACATTTTTAGAGTTATATCTTTAGTATCACATTTATTTCACCTTTTATGCCATTTGCAGCTTCTTATTTCTAAATTTTATTTCTCTTATGTCTCTTTTAAGAGTAACAAAGAAGGTTTCAGAAGAGCAACTAGAGTTACGAGTATTGAGTAGTAAGAATGCAGTGGCGGAATAAGTTTAAACGTATTTACAAATAATAAATATTAAAACTATGACTTAATTCTTACAACAAATTTTTATCGATCAATTTTAATTTTGAATTAACCTATCAAAAAGACACAAAAAATTTTATAATTCAGACATAATTTTTATCTCTATACGTAATTCATAAATAACTTCTCGTAAAAGCAAATGAAGTAAATATAAAATATCTAAACTTTACATAGAATGCTCTGTTTTTAGATAAAATTTAAATAGTTTTAAAAATTTTTTTATTTTTTTTTTAGATATTTCTCAACTTAATGAAAATTGAGAGTCATATTATTTTGCGTCGCATTGTTATATGCATTTTATTATGCTTGAGTAGCTTCGAAAAGACAAATAAAAATTTTTCAATAATTAGTGCAGAGAAACAGATATTTCAGCAGTTTGCGAGAGTTATTTAATTCGTTTCTTTTTTAGTGCAAAGTTGTAAAATGTTAAGCATTTGTTTTTAACCTTTTGAGGACCATTGATGCATTTGAGAGAATCACATCAATCCCCTGATTTTTGAAAATAAACAATGTTATTAGAATTTTGGCTAATGACTTTTCTATTTTTATAACAATAACCAGACCTATGCTTGATTAAAAATATGCATTGAGAAAATAAATTAAAATCAAAACTGTCAGGATGTGGTAAAGTTTAGCTCTATAGGAACATAATTCAACTACTCTGTAAAAGCTCGATAAATTTTATCGAAGTGCTTTAATAAAATTAAGAAAAAAGTATTTTGGTAGTATTAAAAATAAAATATTGTTTTATTACCAGAGAGTTTATTAGAAAATATGGAAAAAAAATGGTAACTGTTACCAAAAAGTTGGAAATTTCAAGAGTGCTAGTATAATTTGAGGTGGAAATGACAACTTCTATTTAATTTAATAACTGCTTGTTTACTTTGTTTTTCGTTTGTTAGTTGTTTTTATTTCTATGTAAGTCAGATGCAAACATCTAACAAACTTTAAAGACACAAAATATATGTATTTGTAAAAATATAAATGCTTGGTCTAGGCTTTGCTAAATTAGTAACTTAACTGTTACATACCAAAATGTCCCAACATACTAAAATGAAAAATTGGAGGAAGCTTACTAATTTATATTTATTTATTACTCATACCTATGCAAGTTTGTGTGAATCTTGCTAAGTTTGGCTTATAATAAACAATATTCTCAAATCGAAATAAGGACACCACAAGATAGAGAAAGACAGCACAAACGTAAAACTAATGATCCGGTGGGATTTGAACCACCACGTTACAATAGATTCATCCTTTTAATGTCTTTCTCTAACTTAGGCTATCTGATCCTTAACTTTTCAAGGGATTATAATAAATAATACTTTATAATCAGCACACGAGAATACGTATATATGCGCAACAATAAATTAATAAATACTTGGAACAGTAATGTTTATTCTATTATATGGGCCTTCCTGCCCAAGTAGTCTCTCTATTTTGCCAAACACTTAATAAAATGAGGGTAATGGTTCTAATCCCACCGTAAATCTAGATGTGTAAAACTAAATAAATAAATTTTGGTTTAGATTCGTATGACAGGCTCATGTTTAAACACTAAAAAAGGGATCATTTCTTATAAAATTAAAGAACGGATAGCCCAAAAGTGAGAAAGACAGCACAACGATATTGAGCGCACTCTTCGCTTCAGAGCGTTTGGAGAAAGGACAATGCTGTCGTGCACTTGAAAAACGAAATTAATTGCTTCACGATTGATTTCGAGAAGAGCTGCTGAAAGCTGCTACTTTTTCCTTCCCATACAAACGATAAAATATCACCTAAAATATCTTAATGTAACAAACGCTAAAGTAAAATTTCAGTAAATTAAACAAAATCAATTTTGAAAAATAAATATGTAATTTATCGAACAAAAATTTAAAACATTTGAAAATCTCAATTTTGAATTCTATATTGCTGACTTTGATTCTTCTATTGCAATGTAGAATATACCTTGGCATCAGAAGCTTCAGTAATCCATTTACCTGCAATAAAGGTTTGGGGCATTCACACGGTATCGCTCAACTTCTTTCCACCCTAAACCGTAGATGTAGTGAAATCGAATTTCGGTATATAACTAAGTACGTAATCTTGGAATCGGAAAAAGTTTTTAAGCCATTGTGGCGTAACTACCACTACGATTATTAAACAGCTATTCACTAGTATATAAGACATGCTAACTTGGTTCTATCTTGAGGTACATTTTTTATAGATGAAGATTGGCATTGTCTTATGGTCTTTCCCCACATTATTCTTTGCATATACAAAGAAATAGACAGATGTAAGTGAATAAATATATAAATTCCATTAAACCCATAAAAAATGCATACAAAAGACTCAATGTCTTGATTTTTCTGAGTATAGTATTTCGAAAACACTTGAAGTGATTATTTGGGCCCAGTGTCCCTCTTATTGGGAAATATATTAAAAAAATAATTAACCTCCTATCGGAATGGTAAAAATGAATGAGAGTTTTGAAGAATATTTTGGTAATTTTACCATACCTCAATGCAAGGTATAAAAGTCATTTATTTGAATATTATTTTTGTTTCGTACTTTTGCTAAATCTGTGGTAATCAGAACTTAAATTTTCAAAGCCAGAATTTTTGGTAAATCTTTACCATAATAAAGAAAAAATTACTAAATTAATGGTTTAAATGCCATATATTTCGATTTTTAATACCAGAATAATATTTTTTTTCTTTACCAGAAATTTCTTTATCATATTGTACGGTAATTTTAACAGATTTTTTTTCATCCATCTAATATTAAATTTAGCATCGCTAATTTATGATAGTCTTTTTGTATTATGTCTTCAAAATCAAATATAATATTACTTACATTTTTGCTCATAACGTGCTGTTGGACGCAGATCTTATGTATAGAGTAAGTTCATATTTTTGAGTCAAAATTTTAATAATTTTAACTTTAAATGTCAGGATATTCTGCTTAACTCTAAACACATTATATATCTCATCTGTTTTCAGAATTCTCTTGTTAAAGCCTAAACAAGTTGAAAATACACAAAAATATATCTCAAATTTGATAAAATGCATTAAAACTTTCACATCACAAGTCAGTTACATTCCATAAAACTCTATTACTTTAGACAAAATAAGAACACACTTTATAGAACAAAATTACGAAATAACTTGCTTCAAACTTAACGCAAACCTTTTAAAAAAGTGCATAATGTGATTCCTTTTAATGGTTTGTATTTCTGTGTAATCAAATTTATTTTGGACGGTAATTTCTTTCAAACGTAATTGATCGTTTATCCAAGATCAAAAACTGCTGAAGTTAAAAGTTAATTCTCTTTTATATCTGACTAATGAGGCTAAGCGGCTTTTCCAAAGTTTGGTAACAGTCACAGACCATAATTGGCTTCCAGCGCTTGATGGATATCTTTGGAAGTTAAACGACGAGTAATTCAATAATGGGCGCTGGAAACACAAAGAAAATCATTGAAGGTAATTAGGAGATCCAAATGGCTTTGTTTTATTTGATTGCTTTTTCACACAAACTTTGAAATCTGTCAAGTAAGAAACTGAAGTTTAGAAGCCAAAAAGAATGTTTGCTCAATTAAAAAGAGCCTCAGATGCATTTTTGAAATCTCTTTTGTGATGGAATTTTAAATTTTTAAGTGCAATTTTACAAGTATAATTTTGTATATAAGTTTTGGTTTTCGTACTTAACTTTTTTATTTAATCAAAAAATTATGTTTCATTTTCTTCAGAGTCTTTTATCTCTTTGATAAAAACTTTCATGGAAAAATGGTGTATGACTTAGGTTGAGATACATCGCTCAAAAATAAATACTCAAATTGTTTGATGAATCCGTTGAAAAAAAAAGATGCACTTAGAATTTTTTTTTAAATTATGTAAATCACAATATTCACATTTTTAAATTCTTTTTTTATTGAAAATCGCCAATTTTTGATGTACAATCGCAAAAAAGCGGACCACCTAGAATAACTTTTGATCTAATGATACATTTTTAACGTTTTAGGACCTAAAGCTAGAAGGGGTGATCTCAAGTATGCTGAAAAAATAAGCCCCCTCAAGTATGCTCTCAGATCTGAAGTATGCCCCCCATATTTTAGGACTTAAAGATAGAAAGGGTGGTCTCAAGTATGCTGAAAAAATATGTACAGACATATTTTAAGTTGCGAAATCAGTCACAAAAACGTATTTTCGCTGTATAAACATACCTTTTCCTCGACGGAATCGGATTTCTGACATCCAAAATATAGGGGGTAGCCGCAATCTGGGAAATATGGTCCTAGTAGTTAGGTCAGACGAGTGATCCAAAGTATGGACCTCTTAATGTTTATTTTACTTTCCGCGTATTCCATTATATCTCAAAATTTTTTTAATCTAATTGAAAAATTTTTACCCAGAATTATCGAATTCGTTTATCCAAAAATAATTCCATCCAAAAAAGTAACTTGTAGTAAATATTTTTTTTTTGTCATTTTATTTAAAAATGGCGGGAAAAAGTTTGAATTGTAAGGTATACAATTTTTTACATCATTTTAAACAATGCAATTTATAGGAGCAAAATGTAAAATTTGAGCAAAATCGGTCATAACCGAGGTTAAAAGTCATAACCGAGAAACTTGTTTAACAAGTGAGCCCACATACGAAAAAGCAGCAAAAATTCTCAGAGTGCACCGAGACGCACAATTCAGAAAGTAGTTTCAGCAAATATTCAAAAATTCCTTGAATTCATCACTTAATAATTGCCAAAAAAATAATGCTCAAGGATTAGTTAATTATGAAAAGTGAAACTTCTATTTCGATGAATATAAAACCTTAATTTCAGTAAACATTTCAGCAGAAATGAGCCAATAATTACTAATCGTATTTTTTTTCGATGGATTTGATTTGAATTCTCAAATATTTCTTTTTTAGATGGGGAAAGTCTTCCAAATAGTCATCGTCATGAAGTCAAACCAAACGGTAGACTTGTCATTCATTACGTAGAGAAAAATACTGACGACGGTACATATTGGTGCACAGCTGGAAACAAACGTGGAGTTTCAGCAAGGAGTCGAATTGACATACATGTAGTTGGTAAGTACTACGTTTTTTTCTGTTCTAATATCATAACAACTATAATTGCATTTATCATTTAGCATGATACAGAAATATATAATATATTTTGCAATATAAATATATTTCACTTTCTAACTGAAGAGTAAGTTGTGTCGCAGGCGGTGTCTTGGGATATTCATCCACTTTTAGATGCACCTGGATAATTTTATTTTAAATTTTTTTCCGCACATGTGCTGCATAAAGCAACTACCTGAATTACTCTTATCTGGCGCAGTTTTTATTATAATTTTTTTAATTTTAAAGCAATAATTTCTTTATTAGTTTAAAATTGATTCAAACGCTTTGTTTAGTTTTTTTTAAACATTTAGGCTATAGCAAAAGTGGCACTAGACCTAGTATATATTTCGGACATTTACCAAAAGTCTAGTCATACTAGATCTGGTTAAGTGCCATTGCCCGGTATGCATTTGCCCGGTATATCCTACAATGTCGTTTTTTTAAGGTCAAGTGCCATTGCCCGGTATACCCTACACTAATGTTTTTTTTAAGGTTCAGTGCCACTGCCCGGTATACCCTACACTGATGTTTTTTAAGGTCAAGTGCCACTGCCCGGTATAATTTGCACGGTATACCCTACACTGATGTTTTTTTAAAGTCAAGTGCCATTGCCCGGTATATATCTGCCAGATACTCCAAACACTGATGTTTGTTCTAATCTATCGTCAGTTATTAAAATATCGAATAAATGTAATTTTATTAAAATATCGAATAAATGTAAATATATCCACGAATAAATTAATATCAAATCGGATGTAATAAATATTTCGGACATTCACCAAAGCGACTAATTTGATTAACAACATTCACCGGTGAAAGTCAACAACCACCAATTTCGGTCATTCACAGTAACATGCACATCATTTACAAAATAACCTCATCAGGAGGATTATTTCATACTTTGCCTAAATAGTATCCGTCATTTCAAAAAATAAAAATAATTGGTTTTGTTGGCGATGATCTCGTAAGGCGATAAGGAATCATGCATAGTACAGATAAGGAAGATATTAACCTCGAAGGAAAAGTGAATGAATACCCCAAGGAACCGTCGCAGGCTTGGTTCTCGATTTATTGACCCACTGAAGGTAGGAAAGGCTGAGCCAACCCTTCCTGGACCGAGGATTGAACCCAGGATCTCTAGCACGAGAGTGCGAAGCGCTACCACTCAGCCACTGGGTATACTGTGTATGATTACAGAAATACAATTTGTTTTATTATTGGAGATTGAATATTCTGCTTATTTCAGTCAATCATAACTAACCTATGCATTCAAAATTATGCAACTGTTTATAGTTTAAAATTTGGGGTAAATTAAAATTTAAATGGACGTTCATAATTACATATTATTTTTTGCGTTGTGATACAAATTATTCGTAATTAAACTTCTTTAACAAAACAATTTCGTCTATACTTTCGAAAAATACTTTTTATAAATATTGCTAAATTAATTTTATTAAATTCATGAAAGCTGTTTGTAAATTGAAATATTGTGTATAAGATATCTTACTTGACGTTATAAATAACGCTAGATTGATTCACGAAAAAAAATATTACTATAATTTATTTTCCAAGACATTTATTTAATTTATTTTGCTCGAATTACCCAAATAAAAATTATTATAAAACTATTTTTTTACTGTCAAATTCTCAGAAATTTGATTTATTAAAGTTATTTCTTTCTGAATGCAATTTTCATAACTAAATTCAATCCTTAGAATAAAAAAAATTATACTTTATTTCTAAAACAACAGGCATAAACAAAAATGCGTAAAAATAATTTCCTCAATCCATTTACAAAATAGGAAAACACACCAAAAATATTCATATTCGAGAAAATAATATCTTTTTTTCTCGGATTTGGAACGCCAACTTCCATTGAAATTCCCCGCAAATATTCCTACTCATCTCTAATGCAAACGTCGATATTTTCTTGATAATGAGAGATTAGAGGAAAGAATATTCCTCCCCCCTGAATGATCTAGAAATGAAAGATCTAAGAGGGTGAAAATGAAAGAATATTTAATAAAAATAGATTTCATAAATATAAGCCGGAACAATTCCTTAATTTATTTCTTCAGCCCATAACTGTTGTTGGCCCATTAGCACGGCGTAGAACTATTCACTTTGTTTCAGTTCAAATTCATTCTCGCGTAATCACCAACAAAGATCATTAATTATTTTTTACATTTGTGCATATCTCAACCATTGTTTTCATGTGGTAACAAGCATAGATTTTTAAGGGACTTTTCTAAAATTAAATTGTGTAGAAGAAAGAATTACTAATATTAATTCAAAATAATTCTTTTTTTAATCACTTAAATGTCTATATTTTTTTAAATTCTAAAGTGTTTGGTCATAAGCCGATAGAATTAATTTTTTTGCGTTGGCAACAAGAAGCTGAAATAAACTGTTGGACTGAAAGTGTTCATATAAAAAAACTTTTCTATACTTTTTAATGATGCTGATTAATTTACGCAGGAAAAATAATATTTTAAAGCTGTGTTTTGATAATTATGATGTTAAGTGCGATGCGTTTGTCAATGGAATATGATTTTTCTTTATTTTTTAATCTTATTCTTTAGTTTTTTTTATGAATTTTAACTTGTACTTGTTAGAATAAAGAACTTAAAACTGTTGCATCTTGCAATACTAAAATTTATATTTCTGTATAAATCAAAGACTTCAGAGGTGGTTTGTGTTGCATATTTTAAAAATTTCATTTTAACGAAAAATACCGGAATACAAAATATGCTAGATTATATGACTAAAGTATCTAATAAGCGAACGAAGTGAACTTTAATTGAAAAGCAATTTGAAAGGAACTGCTGAAATTGTCCCGGGGGTTACCAAGCACAGTAAGCATGAAGTGGCGCACCCAATTTTTCGATTTTTATTTTGTGAACATAGCACATCGGGGTATCCCAAAATTCAAGCAAGAAGTAATGTTCATAAATATCTCGGGCTTTAAAGTTAAAATGTGATTTTTTTTTTATTAGTGAATAACATATTACAGTCTTATGCATGGAATGACATAAATCCAAAACTCTTTTATCATAAACCTTATATTTCAAAAGCCGAATAAAATGACCTATGCTGATACTTTATCTGGATGTCTAATTCAGATCACCAGAATGAAACATTAAACGAGCTCGACTCAAGAACGACTCTCACGACGAGAACGACGAGAACTACTCAATATTGCTCTTTTGTCAGCAGTGAAAGTTTTTTCGTTTACTGCTCTGTTTTTAAAAATCCATGACTGCTGTTTTTTTTTTCTGAAGCATTTTATTGCACGTATGAAAAAAATGGAGGTTTTTGTAACAAATTTGGTTTGCATTTTATTATTAGAATGGTTATTTATTTATTTATTTTTAAATTTACTATGATAATAATACTTACGATATAAAAGTTAGTTCTATAAATTTCCACTCTGTACTTTCCTTGATACTATTAAATGTGAATGAAATTATGTGTTTTAAATTTAATAATAATAGTAGTACCCGGAATATAACAATCTGATCAAAATCATTGGATTCAGAAATTATATATTTTGAAATTTTTAGGAAACTCTGCAAATGCCTCGTAACATTTGAGGTTTGTTTCATTATATGCATTGATAATCCAGTTTCGTTTCAACTAAAATACATTGGTTACGATGAACAATAAATACATATAAGAATTTACACTTATGCGCCTCAGTGAAGTAATGGAATTCAGCAATATTGTGTTCATTCATATTGAATAGAGCGTAAAAGCATATCCATTTACGGCATTCTTACAGCTAGGGAGCAAATCCATAAATCTTGAGAGCAACAATGTAATACACATCGTTTATCTCGACATGAATAAATCGTACGAAATGCTAACAGATACGGGCTCTGATATGTATGAAACTCTGACATAAAATTGTGGGAAGTTTATTTATGATAGATTATATTTTTCTTCTGAATAATAAAATAGATTTTATTTTGCATGATTTTAATGCTTAAAACACATTAAAGGTATTTTTATATTTTCCTTTTTTTAATTTTAAAATCTATAAATTAAGTGCTTTCAATTTAAAAAAAAAGTATTATTTATTACGTTTTAAATTATCAAAGCAATTACAGGCAATACCTACTTTTTATGTAATGAAAGTTCTATAAATTATGTTATATAATTATGAGGTCTTGTGCAAGAACCAGGGAAGTACTATTTTCAGGCGTTTTTGACTATGGCCAGTATAGTTATCCCAGTAAGTGTTAGATCTGGCATGAATATAAAATTAGTCCTCTCTTGTGTCATAAATAGTGTGGAAAAAACTATGTAAGCCAATATTTTTTTATTTTTTTTACTATGAACAATAACCTATTTCCGTTTAGTACAATAGCTGGAAAATATGTAACATCAATCCTCTATTGCATGGTAAATTGTATAGACAAAACTACATAAGCTTATTCTTTTTTTTTTACAACGGGTAATTTAAAAGTTTTTACTAATGTATTAACCAGCTCAAACGTAACATCAGCCCTATACTGTATTGTGAATAGTGTAAAAAAATCTACTTAAATCAGTTCTTATTTTGTTTAATTAATGGACAAAATATCAGTTTCAATTAGTGCAAAAAAACTAGCACAAAATGTAACACAAGTCCTTTCTTATGTGGTAAATAGTAAGAGTAAAACTTGATAAGCCTTTCCTTTTTTTTTTTTTTTTTTTTTTTTTTTTTTTNTTTTTTTTTTTTTTTTTTTTTTTTTTTTTTTTGATTATGAACACTGTGGCTGTTTAGATTAGCTCAAGAACTGTCAAAAATGGAACCTCAGTCTCCTCTTATGCTGTTAATACTGCTGAAATCATCGCAAATCTAATTATTAAATTTTTTAATTTCCATATCTTCTAACTCCCAATTCATGATTCTGAACTTAACTTATTCGTACACAAGTCCCTCAATTGAAAAATTTTCTAATGTACTACATTTATTTATTACTCTCCTAAAGTTATTTATTATTTCAAAGAAAAGCTGTAGTTCTTTTTATATCTTAAATATTAATATTTTGATTTTTAGCTGGACCAGTTGTCGATCCTTTCAACTTTCCTGAAAATTTACGAGAAGGCAGAAGAACTACACTAACATGCATGGTATCAGCTGGAGATTCTCCCATTTCGTTTCGCTGGATAAAAGATGGGGAGCCTATAGTACCTGCTTTACTTGGTGTTAACATTGAATATCTTAACCAATATACGAGTACATTATTTTTTGAAAAAGTAGCACAAAGGCATAATGGAAACTACACTTGCATCGCATCTAATCCTTATGCTTCAGCAAATCATACCGCAGGCCTTACATTGAACAGTAATGCATACATTTCAAATCTCTTTATTTAACTGGTCTAATAATTAGAAAATTTTAAAGAAAAATGAGTCTGACATTTAATATTTTTTATCTTATTCTTAAATATATGTATTTGTGAATAAAGAATAATAAAAAACGAAAAATATTTATGTTCTATAATTTTCCCTATACAAGCCCTAGTGTTAATTTTACTTAAAAATGTCATTAAAGTTTGTGCTGTCTGAATTTTAATAAGTTGGAAAATACAGTGAGAAAACATGCAAGGTCAAAACAGTGAGAAAATAAATTGGTTCATACAGTGAGAAAAATGTAAGGTCGAAACTATCAGAATGTGATAAACTGTTTCATGTTCCGGCTCTTTGGTAACAACATTAATTAGTAATTTTACTAAAGTGAACTGATTTAGTTAGGAATTTGGTTAAACTAACAATAATATCTGTGATAAAATTTTGTAATTTTATCATTATAGCTTAGACCATTGCAAACAAAAACTGTTGCTCTGTTAAATTTACTTTCAGCTTTTTATTTTTAACTAAATGTGTGGTATTAAAAACTGTAAATAAAAAACCATAATTTCCTATAAACCATAACCAAATGAACGTAAAAATTTACCAAATGAGCAATTTAAATAATATATATTTCGGTTTTATTAATTAAAATTAAGTTATTGTTTTTTTAGCCAAACTTATCATTACCATTCACTACGATAATTTTATGATAATTTGTTTTCTTTTATTGAAGAAGTTAGAAATGGACTACTAATGTCCAGAACATTACTAAAATCTAAAAATAAGAGAAATTCTAAAAAAAGTATTCTTTCAACCATTATTTTAAAAATACCCACAACCACAAATAAAATAATTGATAATTAACTTTACAAACTAATTGTCAAAAAGAAAAGTATTAGCATTTCGGAGTAACAATATTTGAATCTTAATTACTAAATTGTAACCATATATTTGTTGACATTAATAGAATGTGAAATAAATGCATACTTAAAAATAGCTTAGGATAATTTTTTGTTGAAAAAAAATTCCAGTTAATTGAAGCATTTCGATACATGTTTCCAAAACAAACTTCATGTATTAATTAACAACGAGCATCATAGTGTATAAATATTATTCATTTTAAACCTTAGATAACAGATATTATTTTAGTAAATACTAACGCATAATGATTTCTGTAAATGCATACATTTTCTGAAACTGCTATTATTGATTTCCTATAAACGTATTATCTATATAAGCCATTTTAAACATTAGGAATTTAGCTACACGACCTTTAATATATAATAGTTGAAACATGTACTAATTGCAACACATATTGATTATATTCCAATTTATTAGTTCAGTTTCATTTGAAATATATTTCGATACTTTAAATTTCTTTTTGGCTTGTATAAATATAGAAGTTTTTTAAAATTGTGTGTCTATGGATTCCTTTTATTTCATAATATTGTTTTTATCACCGGTTTATCGACAACTTTTAAAAAAAAATATTTTCGAATATGATGATAATGTTTGGTTCTGATTTTTTTCGAATTAATCAATGTTAATTTAATTTAAATGTAATATCTACCGTTTATAATTAACTAGATGGAAGCAATTAAAAACGAACTATGCTATTTAGCAAAATGGTAACCGATGAAGGTGACAAATGATTGCTGTTGTAACGAAAACGATACGTGTGTTTTTCACTTCCATCTATAATAACGAATGGATATTTTTCCTAGACTGTTCACGTCTACCAGACAGATTCGAAGTTCTTGCGGGAGATTGAATTTTGCACCCCTCTTTGAAATCTCAGTGTTGGCTGGTTGATACGAAATTTGCTCCCTTCTTGCCCCGAACAAGGTGGTGCTGACATAAAATATCCTCAGCGGTAGACGGATCCCCTAGCTACGAAAACCACCCACAGGTTAACCATGGGTTGCTTTCGCGGGTTTCCACTCCATGTGACGCAAATCTGGGTAAGTTCCCTCTATAAGTCTTCCTAGAAGGCAAGTTTGTCCCAATGCTTTATTCAGGAGTTCCCTTGTCCTTCGGATTAGGTTCAAAACTACAAGGCTACAGAGTTGAACAGTATTGGTTGTAGAGTCGGGTCGACTGTTCAAAACCGGTTATAAAATAACAAAATGAAGCAATGACAAAAGTATTATAACCGAGCAGCTATCATAGCGTTTTAAAGTGACTCATAATTGGGCAATTCATATGAGGTCGATTTTTTAGAACTGTGGGAGTAGGAGTCAATGATTGGCATGATTTGAATGTGTTAAAGCTCAGGAAAGTAATCAAATAAAATATTCCAGCAAGCTTTCTATGGAGTCATCGTGTAAACGCTAGACCACTCAGGCAAAGTAATAAATTATTCTGCGAACGTTCAAATTGAAAGTGTCATCGATTTTATTGTTCTAATCTCTCTCAAATTGACTCTTCCATGATAGAGTAACTATTAGGAAAAATATTGGCTGGAGCCTGTTTTAAACAAATGCTGAATAGGAAATATGCTTGCGCAAGCTAGTCTAAACAGCAGTCAAAGGTCTTGATACTGTGTAACCAGGCCTAAAAGCAACCTAAGGTCTTAGCATTGTGCAATTAGAGACATACACGGAAAATTTGCCTAAATGATTGTAGACAATACTTTTAAGTTTCATAAAAATAAAAGGAATCAACTGACACAGTGAATGCATGGAATATTATTTTTATAGTAAAATTTTTGAAATATAAATAATTTCTTAGCGAAATTTTTTGAGTATGAGCACATAAATTCGAAAAAGAAAACACATTTGTTCATATTTTCCTTTAGTTCCACCAAGATGGGTGATTGAGCCTAAAGATGTCGAAGTTGTTCAAGGAAGTTCAGTTCGTGTCGATTGCCAAGCGGAAGGCTATCCTAGACCAATCATTCGTTGGAAGCAGCTTGTCGGTAAATCAAATATTTTTAAATTATTTTTTTACGTTATTGGTTGAAAATAAGAACTTAATTCAAAAATTTTTTTTATAATAAATTGAATTCGCATTGAATTCTTACAATAGTTCATAATTTAAATATTGTAAAATAAATTGTTCTATTTATCTTACTAAATTAGAAGAAAATTTGAAAAAATATATGAAAAAATACCACTTTCTTTTTGCATGTCTCAAAAACAGAGCAAGTTTCAGAATACTATCCAAACTCTTGTGCAAAGTTGTTTTGTTTAGAACTTTTATCTTAAATTTTTATATTCTTTTAAAATAATTTATTTTAAAATCATTCCTTTTTCCCTGCCAAATTCGCAAAATCTGTATGACTATCGAAAAGAGTTAATTTAATTATATATTAAACTTTTATTTTTAAATTTTTATTATTTTAAAATAAGTCACTTCAAAACAGTTTCTTCTCCGAAGCCAAATTCGCAAAAAGATCTAAAAAAAATGTTAATTTTAATTAAAAATGTATTTAAAAAAATATGAAAATCGCTTTTAAAGTGAAAAATAATAAAACTAATAAAAAAAAATTTATATCTTCTATCATTCTCTTTTCCGTCTCTTTGTTTTTAAATATCACATGGAATACAGCAAAATTCAAATTCCATCAGAACTCCTGTACACATTTGTTTACTTTAAAACATTTTTGAATGTATAATAGAATTGTGCAAATATATTTCCCCCGTTTTATTTCAAGAAAAGCAACAATCTCAACCATGCTAACTCAACTCATTTAAGTGCATTGAATATTTCTCCGCACTCCTCTCTCGTAGCATACATTTTCGCCAAGATCAACACAGCATTTTCGAAAAAGTCACTAAATGTCACGTAGCGCTTATCTTTTCAATTAACATATCTTCTCGTTGCAGGTGCTCATGGAAACCCGGAATCCTTTCAAACTATAATGAGTAGCGCCCGGATGCAGGTCCTTGAAAATGGTTCTTTGCTTATTTTGGAAGCAAGCCCGAGTGATGGGGGCTCTTTTCTGTGCCAGGCATTCAATAGAATTGGACCAGGACTCAGTAAAATGCTTACGATTGTAGTACACGGTAGAGTAATATCGAAGTACTATTATTGATCTTGAGTGCTCTTTGTTAAATTTTTGAAAAGGGTGGTATATAATAATGATTTATTCGTAAAGTGTTATTGAGTGCTGAAATTGTTTGATATTGTTGTCTAGAAGATAAAGGCAAACAGAGAGATTAGGGATTGCATAGATATAAACTCTTATGAATGTATTTAAAACTATTTCAAAAACTTTGTGACTGGAGGTTAAACATGCTTTAAACAAAGCAGATTCAATACTTTTTTTCATTCATTTGTAAAAATATTGATTCATTTATTACAGAGTTGATAAACTAAATTTTGATTGGCTCAATGAAATAATTATTTACAAGTAAAATTTTAAGGTTTGGATGAAAATGCCTTGTTTTTTCAAAAACAGGGCATTTTCAGCGCTACTATTATGTATACATTTTAGGAAACAAAAAGGTATAGCACTGCAGATCAGTAGTAACATTAAAGAGAAAATCGCTAGCACAGAAATGGAGAAAATATTCATAACAAAATGATTGCTTTGCGTATTTTTAATTTTAAATAGTAATAAAAATGTTTCGAAACTCTTAAACTTCTATATGAAAAATACGCTGTAAATTTCTCAAAATTGAGCAAAAATATGCATGTAAATTTCTCAAAATTGGGTTTCTCAAAATTGAGCAAAAATATGTCAAAATGGCCCCGACAATTTATATAGTTGAATTTGAAAACTCGATGTACTCATTATTGAGCATAGTGATATACTCAAAACAGCGTATACTCCTTTTTGAGCTAAATGCATATTCTCAAAAATGACGCATCATGATGGGTTATCATGTACTCATTTTGAGTATTTATTTCAGCGAGAGTGAGCATGTTCTCAAAATGACTATTTTGTGTATGTCACTATAGTCAATAATGATTACATGGGATTTTCAAATTAGATTATATATGCGTTGGTGCCATTTTGACATATTTTTGCTCAATTTTGAGAAACCCCCTTTTACAGTGTGAGCATACTTTGTGCTGAATAAGGGTATACTGTGTGGAGATAAAGTTAACTAACGCACATAAAGAACAGGTAATGGCACAAAAACGTATAAAAAGGGATGCCAAACCATTTTGTCTTCATTAAAAAAATACACACAGAAATAAAAATTTCTTTAAAACTCTTATTCATATTTATTCTGACATGAATATTTTTTTTCCATAATTTAACTTACACACTTCACTCAATTTCACTTGTTATTCTTCCAAAAGACAAGCGTAGACGAAAAAGGCAAATCAATCATTATTCATCAATTGCAAAATTGCAAAATATAAAAAAATCGCAAAATATTATAAAATCATTGCAGCAATCAGTATTATATCTAATCCTAAGTATCATTTATAATCTCACAAAATCTAGTATATTTATTCTCACATTAACCTTGAATAAAACTGCATGCCACCAAACAATTTTGATACTTGCATACCATTTTATCTTACACGTATAGGGACTGACTGGGTTTCGTGGTATTCCTACTATGAGCATTATAAGAAGACGAATGGCTAATTACCTAGGCGCTTTAAAAATTTGGCATTGGTTGGTGCTTAAACATGGGCTTCAACGGCGTCGTCGGAAATGCTACTATTTATTCCAGCTGCCCTGAAAATTGTATATTTGCCATCAGTATTGGTCATTTTTGATAGATTATACTTTGCTCTTTCCACGTATTGTATCCTTAAATCTGGTTATGAAAATGCTAAGTAACCCTTTTTATTTAATACTAAAATCAAACCCCTCTTCCTTTCCAGAGTATTTTCTTCACATGAAATATCACCATCAAACACATCAACGATACCAAACAGTGTTAATTCGTGACGAATATCGACTTTCATACTATTTTTACAAGTCTCTTCTTTCCATTTATTTCTATTTTCACTCTAAACCCCTTCAACCACACCATACAACGCAAACTCAAAACGAATATCGACGTTTATACTTTTTGACATGCCACTTCTTTCCATTTATTTCAAATTTATGTCACTAGAAGTGTCACCACAAATCCCCACAACCATACCATACAATGTAAATTCAATACGAACATCGACGTCTATACTATTTTTACATGTCACTTCTTTTTATTTATTTCAAATTTATGTGACAGGGAGTCTCACTACCAACTACGTCAAACACATTGAACAGTATAAATTCAAGACAAATATCGACTTTCATACTATTTTTACGTGACACTTCTTCCTTTTTCTTAATATTTATGTCGCGTGAAGTGTCATCACAAACCACCATAACCATACCAAACAACGTGAATTTAAGGTAAACGTTGACTCCTTCGGAAACAGTTCATTTAACAAAATTTTAAAATTGCCGCCCTCGAACGTATATACCAAATTTCATGCACAAGGTTTGAATAGGAAAGTCTTATTACAAATGTTTCTAGGTAAATTAGATAAATTGTGCAAAATATTATTTTCAAAAATTGCAAAATAAGTTATAAAACATCAAAACTTAGACTATGTCTTCTTTTAATAACACGCAATAAATTGGACTATTTAAGAAAATAAATTAATTGAAGTTTATAAATTTAAATTAGTTAAATGTCTAATATCCTTTTTACGCTAATTTGAAGTCAAAAGCTTTTTAAATGAGTTCGCAACTAATAGTAATGCAGAATATAGTCTAAATATGCAAAACATTTCCAAAAGTCTTTCTTTTGAATAATTTACGTTTAAAAATTTGAAAGTAAATAAACTCATTCTTAAATGCATGTTAAAAATAGGCATTACAACTAACTTGACATGCAATGATGTTGAATAAATAAATGTTTAAAGTATTTTAACGTAAATAAAAGTATTACATAACTACAATATATTAAAAGTACTCCGTTTTTTTCCTGAAATTAAAGATTGTATCAGCAAAGTAAACTGCTGTAATTTCAAGCATCAATGAGTCTTTCTCATTAAAAAAACGTGATAGGTTATACAAATTTATTTGCATATGTTTTTCTTTAGCTCCTATAAATGAAAGAGTAAGTAATTTTATCAGTTAGCTTAACATTATATATATATATATATATATCAAAATATTAATATTTTTTCCTTTTTTCCATAATCCCAAAGTATTTAATTTTTTACATTATTTTAATTAGCCTCAAAATTAATTAAATTGCTTCATATTTTACAATCTTAAACAGAATATATTTTTAACTAGTATATTTAATAGCTTCTTTTTTTATTTTTCAATTTTGTTTTTTAGTTCCAGCACATTTTAAAGTTAAATTTAGTGCCCAAAAAGTGAAAAAAGGTGATCAAGTAAATCTAAACTGCAAAGCCCACGGAGACAAGCCAATTTCGATCACGTGGTTCAAAGATGGAGAAGCACTGAACAATGGAACAATACCCAGGTACGCTGTCCTTTGGAGAAAAAAATAAGATTATTTTTCTATTTCGGCGCAAAAGCCATTGGAAAAATTGAAAAGTGCATGTGTTATGTAGAAATATATGATCTATTTTCCTGCGAATACAACAGCATATTTATTTTTCCCAGGTTAGTGCTTCTTAAGGATAAAGATACACTGGTTACATTTAGGTTATTTGTTTTTAGAAACTTAGATATACAGATCGTAACTTAACTCTTTTGTAACTCATCTTTTATTTGTTTATATTCTGGAATATATTTCATTTATTTTTGTTTTTTCGAACAAAAAAGATCAATAAATAAGGAGATGCAGAGAAAAATATACGATGTATTTTTGAAGTTTTATATTTAAGTTCTTATAAATTTGTTTAATTTTTATTACTGAAGCTTTTATGGTTTTCATCTGATATCATTAGTGTTTCTCAAAATTTGAAAGTTAATAACTTTCTATATTATTGAAAAATTAAAATTATTCAAGGTTATTGCAGATCCTCTTTTGATTCTAATAATGAGTTTACGTCAATTAAATTATAAACCCTTTTCTTTCCATGAATAAAAAACTGATTAACAAAGAGGAATACTGATATTTAAAACCCTTCATCAAAAATCATTATTTTTGTTCTGAACAACTGTGTATTCTTATTTTCTTTACATTATAAACTCAGGATGAAGGAACCCGAATTGATACTCGGATATTAAGTGAAATTAGTAACAATACACTGAGAAAAAATTTCTGGTAAAATTACCGTACTACATGGTTATGACATTTTTGGTAAAACTAAAATATCACTGTAAACCATAAATATCATAACGGTTTGCTGGAAATTCTTCAAAATTATAGATCTTATTACCACAGATTTAATTAAAAATACTAAATTAAAAGTAAATTTAATTGAATAAATGGTTTTTATGCCATGTTCTAAGGCACCATGATAAAATTGCCAAGTTTTACCAAATTTTGTCACACATTATAAAATCATATTTTATTGTTTTGGTAAAAATTACGGATTTTTGGGAGATACGGAGATTTTTGATGCTCCCATAAAGCCGGAAACACGGTAAATTTTCCCTCATTGTATTCGTTTTGAATACTCTTTCTTTTGAAGTTAAAAAAATAAATTTTCTTTGGCTACTTGCAGCAGCAATAAAATTGGAAATAAAAGTTTCTTTTTTTACTATAAGTATTCCATCATAGTTTATGTGTCGCTAACAAAGGAGTACTAATTGTAAATGTTTACAATAATTAGAGTGTAAATTTAAATGCAGACAATTTTTAGAAGAATTGTAGCAATTTTAAATTTCGACGGTTGATAGTTGTTTATCATAATAAATGGATCTTCATTTAAAAAATTCCTGCATTATTTTATTAGGTGTAAGCAATGATTTTTCGCACTCTATATGGGAAAAAAATTAAATAAATTTTACCTTTGTTTTTTATTGTAAAATTTCAAAGATTTTAAAAGTTATAATTCTATATCCTATCCCTATATTTGATGAAAAATGTTTTTTAGACTAATATTGTTTTTTCTATACTTTAAATGCATCTTTATAAAAAAATTAGCTTTATTGGTATGTGTTGGATTTTGTTGAGAGCAAATCAGACTGAAAGTCACGTAGAACAAACTGAAAACTTAACTTTTATTTACATCAAAAGCAATATAAAAACAATAAGATGTTGCCAGCACAGGAAACTCAAACTATCTAACTAATCTCGAACTCAAACCTCAACAGTATGTAACTCGTCAAGATCTAAATAGAGATAGGATATATTTTACACTAAATAGTGTATATATTCAAATATCATGAATAAAGAAAAATGATAGTATAGCCTCAGTTCTAAAAACATGAGCCATACAAAACATCAGAAGAAAATATACGATAACAAGTTGCAACAAAAAAACCCGTTTTAACCTATTGTGGAATTATTTTTAAATGATTCTCAGAAGTCGAAATATAATGCTAACGACAGCCTTAAATGATTTAATCAGAAAAAAAAATCTAAAATCTATCATTAGAATTACAGCTATGTAGGGCAATAGAAATTAGTTTAATATCCTTATTTTAAGCATATCTTCCATGTTCTTTTACTCAACGCTTAAGAACACTCATACACTTCGTACTCGTACATATTCCTCATACGTCAATGCAAATTTAAAAATCAAAATAGATTGAAATGTAAAAACTTTGTTAATAATAATTATTCTAAAGAAATGATCCAATGCTCAACTAATTTAATCTGTCTGTAACTAAAAATCAGTCAATTTAAAAAAAAAGTAAAAATTAAATGCAAAAATGATCCATTTAAAAAATAAATATCAATCAATCAATCAAAAAATCAACAAAAAAATAAAAAATAAATCAAAAATAAAATCAATATATGTAGTTTAAAAATTTTAAATTGCAGACATTACAGCTTAGATCATGCATAGTTAAGGCTTCTCTATTTTTTGATAGCATTTATCCTTTTACCTCTTCTATTATGGATCTAAACTAAAATAAATTATCAAATGCAACTCTTAGATTTGATCTCCATCAATTAACATATTCAAAACCTGCTATTTGTTCAAAATTTTAGCGCAATAATATTGCGCATAAATATTTACTTCATATTTACATTTAATTGGAGATGCTTTCTTTCTTTGTTTTACTGCAAAAAAAGATAACGGAAAAATAAATATTTGTGTTTTTCCAAAGAGCAGATACAGTAAGAGGGAGTATGATCATATAGATGGATTAACCTCTCAATTGAACATACATTCTGCTAGAAGGGAAGATTCATCTGTCTTTTCTTGTCGAGCATCCAATCTCTACGGACATGACGATTCTACGGTAGAATTGGTTGTACAAGGTGAGTTTATACATATATTTATTCTTTTTTTTTTTCAGTGAAAGTAAACTATCACATATTTTGGCGCTTAATTTCACCAAAAAAAAAAAGGATCTGTTGATCTGCCCTCGAATTTACACCATCTGCTTTTCTAAATTTATTAGAAAACCTTATTTGTAATAGTTTTCTTGGTTTTATAATACTTTAAAAATGTCAGGGATTATCCATAAATATTAGATATGAATGTTCGTCTGTGTGTCCTTCATAGACTTCTGAACCATTCGACAGAGAGCGCAATGATACTTGCCATACTGATTGTCCATAGCTTGAAAAAGGTCACTGTGAACGTTCGAAAATTCTGCTACGAACCATTTGTGTGGGATGGACGAAGAATGAATTTTTTCATAGGATTAACATTAAGCATTATTGCAATTTAAATTGCAGACGATTCTTATTTTAGATCACAGCTCCAATTAATGAACACTTATATATCTCGGTGAAGCCATAGTCTCACCGAAAATTATTTTGCTTGTTTTTACTAATTAATTATTAATCTTTCATTCTTTGTGATGTCCGGTGAGCTTTAGTAAAATTAAGGATAACGTATATATATAATAATAATATAGAGAAATTAATAAAGATTAATAAAAAGAAAAGAAGAAAAATTATTACAATAAAATATTTTTGAAAATTATTATAAAAATATTTAATTATACTATAATTTTTAAAATTATTATTATTATTATGTATTANTGGCGCGACAGCCCATAGAGGGCCAAGGCTTACTGTGCCCATCTCAGTTTTCTTGACCTTGGGCTCTAGGGTGCAGGAGAAAATGTTCCTGTCAGGTAGTCAGCCGAACGCGGTACGCCCAGTGTTTAGTTCCCAATCATGCTTGGTACTCCTTTATCGACCTACTGAAGGGATGAAAGGGTGAGTCAACCTTGCCCTGCCCGAGGATCGAACCCAGGGCCTGTGGCACGGGAGTGCGAAGAGCTACCACTCAGCCACCGGATGTCATAATATAGTATAGAGTAAAATAAATATTTGCGTTTTCAGTTAACGGAATTTAGCACCATAGCCAACATTGGAGTTCGCATGGCAATTATTGCAATTTAATCTTATTTTATCTAGCTATTCTTTGAATGAGATTAATCAATTAATTAAAATAAAATCACGAAAAATGCGCGCTATTGAAAATTATAATCAAATTTTTAGAATTCCTTCCGCAAAGCTATTCAGTCAAAAAAAAATTCTTAACTGAATGAAAATAACTAAGTTATTCTTCCTTAAATTATGACTGCCAATTTTATAAAGTGATTATAGGGATTTCATTTAAATATTATTTATGTCTAGGAGGATTTTGTGCAACTTTTCTCGATCTTACAATCATAATGAAATCAAAGCTTTTATAATATTTATAGGCATTAGTCAATTTCTTAATCTGTAAGTATTATAGACACCAGGGGCAAAACTAAATAAATTCTGAATAGCTTCATATGTATTGTCTTTATTCTCATTAAAATTATCAGTTAACGAAACAAAAGGTTTTCAAAGCATATATTATTAGATAATTACATTTGTTTAGAATAAATTAAAGCAGATACATTTAGCGATCGTACAAATATTCAAATTTTAGAAATTTGGGAAGGCAAAAGATTTTTTGTCTTGGCTTTTATCACGCTTTATCTGCTACATCAGGTTTATCTAATATTGATATAGAAGGATTGAAAAGTTTGGTGTTGTGGATAGTTCAAGTAACAGTGTCGAAAAATAGAGTAAAATAGGATATAGTAGTCGATAAAGTAGTGGGATAAGGTGTAGTAGAGTAGAGCATTGCAGAATAATATTTTAGACACAATAGTGTTAAGCAAAATATATTATAATTATTTACTAATGCTTATATTTTGCATAGTATATTAGAAGAGAAAAATTAATCTAATAATAAATTAACTTTACTAATTAATAGCAAAAGTGAGAAAGATGGTTGTAGTTTAAATTTGTTTTTGTTGAATTTTACCAGTTGATGAAAAATCAAGAAAATGAAAATTAAATTTGATGCATATTTTCAATTTTTAAATTTTGCTTAATTTGTAATTTTAAAGTGTGTTGTAAATTGTAAATTTTGTAAATTTTAAAAGTTTGCTTTTCAGAAAAAGAAAACACAATTTTTGGCTGATTAACACATGCCAACCTCGCTAAATAGTTATTCGCTTTTTCAACCAAATTTATTTAAAACATGTCTAATGCGTAAGACATGTTCATCAATGCCAACATGTTCATACTTATATTATTCAAAGGAGAAAAAAATTATTTTAAGCGTATACATTACGATCGTAATTTCAAAATTCTTGCGATTTTATTTTTATTATCGTTATGAAATGAGTGGATTTGCCTCAAAAGGGAATGCATAAAATTCAATATTTTTTTCAAGCTAAAAAAATATACTTTTATCCGTAATTGCAATGTAGCATTTGCAATTGCAATTGCAAATTACATTTTGTCATTTTTACCCTTTTCCTCGTTAAGACTGTGATAGTACAGTGGTTTGTACATTCCACGGACATTCATTAGTACATGGTATGTACTAACTACTATATAATCACAGCCTTAAAGAGGGAAAGGGTAAAAATTACAGAATGTGATTCAGTGACCCGATGTCACATTTTTGCACTTTCCTTCTTCAAGGCCGTGATCGTCTAGTGGTAAGTACATTCCAAGGAATGTTCGAAGACCACTATGAGATCACAGTCATAAAGAGTGACTACATGTCACCTACAGTTCCGTATCGTCTAATAAAAACATAAATTTTTCAATAAAACATTCCAATAAAGTTGTTTTTATGCTAAAATTTCCTATTCTATTTTACAAAAAATTTAATTTAGAAACTAATACTGAAAAAATTTGCCGAACATAACAATGCTTTGTTCATTAAAATTAAAAGTAGATTGTTTTAAAAATATTTTCAAGATAAAAATGTTTCAAAGTATTAATTAATTTTTAGAAAACGTAGCACATACTACATAAAATATGCATATTTATGACCCAGTTAAAAAAAAACACAAATGGACTGCGTCAAATTTCCGTAATAAGTGACAAATCAACTTTTTGTTTAGTTGTAATTACTTTCGTGAAATATTTGGATGCATTTCTTATCAGCACACCCAATTAAACTATTTTTTAATTGAAACGATATGCATAACTTATTAAAAAAATCTAAGTTTATTCCTAATTTATAAATACAATTCATTATCAGAAATTGCTTTTTCGTTTTGCACTTTCTGAACTTTATGATATTCAGTTATGATTATGAATTTTATGATATCATTTGTTCCAATTTTTCTGCTATTTATTTTATATCGATGTTTCCAAACGCTACTTGTTCATTTAAAATGTGAGTAGTGCTTCTAAATAAAATGCAAATAAAAATACTAATTTTTGATATTTAAATTGTAGTTAATAGCATTTAAGTTGATTAATTTTATATTTAAAACATTTTATTCATGAAATTACACATCAGTTAAAAATTGATGTACAATTGTAATTATGAAACTTTTATGTGCTTCTAGAGAGAATTTAATTTATTAATTGTCGCTTGTAAAGAGACAATTTTAAGAAATTAAAGCTTAAATGCTTTTGATCTTTTATTTATTCTACTTAACCGGCATAGAATTTATAATTAAAAATTTATTTTGCTCATTACTCGAGGTAACGTAAAGAATTTTTAGTTACGTAAAATATTTAATTACATTAAATGTCTTTGAAAAAATTTCTGAAAATGAAAATTTTATGTATGACCTAGTTTAATGAAGCAATTTTCTTTAATATTCAAATATCTATATTTTGTTAGAAATAATTCCTAATTGTTATTTTTAAAGGATGCATAATATATTTTAAAACTGATAATTAATTAAATTAGGCATTACTTTAACAAGAAATTATTTATTCAAACATGAGAAAATATAAAAAAGTAGTCTTTTTAGAGAAAATACCTAATTTTCGCCTTGTATTCTCAAAGGAGCTTAATTAAAATAAATGCTAATGTATGCGTAAAAATATGAGCAACTTTGAAACACGTTAGTCAATAAAAATATTCAAAAATAAATCTTAATTATGTAAGTTTAAATAAATACGGAGAAAGCATTTCTAAAATAGAATCAATATTTATTCAAAAATAGTTTTTTTTTTATAACCGCAGTCAAATAAAGTATTTTTCAATAAATAATTAAAGCAGTTATTCATAGAATGGTTTCAATAATCATGTATTTATTTATATTATTTAAAAGTTAAAGATTTAAATAATTATTGCATTTGAGAAACTAATTTCTACAAATCATTTCCGTATGCAAATTTAATTACGCCTTCTCAAAAATTCTGAAATTTAATTTATTTCTTTTCTGGGAACAATTATCGCTTGATTTCAACATTTAGAAACATTTTCATCGTGAGCGTTTTTAAATATTTATTAGGTTTGTTTCATCATCTTTGAAAATTTGAGAAAAGCTTTTAAATATTTCCGCATTTTAAATGTGTAGATATATAAAACAAATTTTAAAAATAATATCCTATAAAATAATATAAATGTTTATGAAATATAATACCTAACATTTACGACCAGTTTAACGTATTCTTTCGTTAACAAATTGTAATGTAACATTAAAGCAAACTTATTTCAATAGATACAAAAAGATGTAACAAATTGGAATTTGAAGTAGGTGAAATATTTTGACTAACGTTAACATTAAAAACTAGTATTCCTTAAATAATTCTTAAATTTATACTTAATAGTTAACTACTAATTACTCATATTGAGAGTTTCTAGCATGTTACTAAAACATTTTATTAAATAAATCATTTTCTGAAATTTAAATATTCCATTTGTAAAAATTGATTTCTTTAAAATGCCTTAATAGTTGCTAAGTTTCATTAACATGCTTCAAATCCTTAAAATATTTCAAATGTGTATAAATTAATGGTTTCTAAGAAATTACAATTTCTCGCAAGACATCTCAAAACGAGTC